GGCCGGGAGCATGCCACTGCACTCTAGTCTGGGTGACAGAGTGAGACTCCAACTCAAAAAAAAAGAAGTAATATAAACTGAAAATAAGTGGAAGGAAGGAAATAACAAAGATATGAGCAGAAATCAGCACAACAAACCATAGAGAAAATTAACAAAGTCAAATATTAGTTCTTTGAAAAGATTAACTAAAATGTTAAACCCCTAGGTAGACTGAATAAGAAATTAAAAAGAGAAAGTGGGAGAGAAGACATAATTCACTAATGGTAGGAGTAAAAGGATTTCAGATTTAAAAGACATCAAAAAGCTGACAGTAGAATATTTTTTTTTGAGTTGGAGTCTCACTCTGTCGCCCAGACTGGAGTGCAGTGGCCGCTCCCGGCCACTGCAGCCTCGCCTGCTGGGCTCTGGCGATCCTTCCGCCTCAGCCTTCCGAGTAGCCGGAATTACAGGCATGCGCTACCACACCCAGCTGATTTTTTGATTTATTGTAGAGATGAGGTCTCGTTGCCCAGGCGGGTCTCGAACCCACGGGCTCAGGCAATCCACCCACCTCAGCCTCCCAAAGGCGCGGGATTACGGGCTGAGCCACCGAGCCCGGCTGACAGTGGAATATTATAAACAACTTTATGTCAATAAATTCAATAACTTAGGTGAAATGAGGAATTCCTAAAAAATATAACATAAGATTCATATGCAAAATAAAACACAAACTCTGAATACCTATAGATTTGTTTACAAAATTAAATTATCCACACTTTTTCACAAAGAAAACCCGAGGCCCAGACAGTTTTACTGGTGAATTCTATCAAATAATTCAGAAAGAACAATACCAATCTTACATAAACTCTTTCTAAAAATAGAGGACAAAAAACTCTCTAACTCATTTTATGAGGATAGTATATTCTGGCACAGAAACTGAAAAGACATTACAAAAAAAATTACAGACTAATATTTGTCAATATTTAACAAAATGTTAGGAAATCAAATCTAGCAATATATAAAAAGCCTAATACATCATGACAAAGTTGAGTTTACTTCAGGACTGTAAGAGATAATCAATGCAATCTTCCATATTAAGAGAATAAAGGAGAAAAACCATATAGTCATTTCAATATATATGGATAAGATATTTATAAAAAGTAAGAGCTACTGATAATAAAAACCCTTTTCAAATTAGAAAAAGAAAATAATTGTCTTAATCTGACAACAGACATCTATTAAAAAAATCAAATCTAATATCCAACTTAATGGTGAAATAGCGAATACTTTTCTCCAAAGTTCAAGAAGTCAGGGATTTTACATTGTCACTTCTATTCAACATTATACTGGTGGTATAAGCAAGTGCAATAAGACAAGAAAAAAAGGAATAAATATAAAAGAAATATTGCAGCAGATGACATGTTTAATTACATAGGAAAACCTAAGGAATCTACAAATCAACTAGAAAAAAGCAAATTTAGCACGTTTGCAGAATATAAGATCAATATACAACAATTGATTATATTTTAATACTAGCAGCAAACAATTGGAAAAATAAAAGCAATTCTACTTATAATGGCATCAAAAAACATAAAACTTTTTTTCTTTTGAGTTGGAGTTTCACTCTGTCGCCCAGACTGTAGTGCAGTGGCACACTCCCGGTCACCGCAGCCTTGACCTGCTGGGCTCCAGTGATCCTTCCGCTTCAGCCTTCCAAGTATCTGGAACTACAGGCGCATGCTACCATGCCCGGCTAATTTTTTGATTTACTGTAGAGATGAGGTCTGGCCAAGTTGCCCAGGCGGGTCTCAAACCCATGGGCTCTGGCAATCCACTCACCTCAGCCTCCCAAAGCGCGGGAACATAAAACTTTTAGGAATAAATTTAAGCAAATATATGTGTAAGACCTGTATGCTTAAAACTATAAAACCATGCTCAGAGAAAATGAGACCTAAAAGAATAAAGATATATTTTGCTCATAAATGAGAAGATGCGATATTACTAAATGTCAATCCTCCCAAATTGATCTAATTCCTTTATTGCATAGAAAGTGACAAGATGATTCTAAAATGTGTGTGGAAATACAAAAGACCTAGAACACCAAAAGCAGTCTTGAAAAAGAAGAAACTAGTTGACAGCGTTTACAACAGCTTATATGTCAAAACCTTCTATAAGCTATAGTAATCAAGACAGTGGGCATGAGTGTAAGGATAGACACTTAGATGAAGTAATAGAATAGAGAGTTCAGAAATCCATTTAAAAGGTCAATTGTCTTTGACAAAGATGGCAACACAAAACAATGCAGTACCTTTTCAACAAATAGTGCTAGTACAACAGGATATCCATGTGAAAAAAATAAATCTTAACCTCTACTTCATATCATATATGGAAATTAATTCAGGATGAATCATGTAGTATGCAATTATAAGAGTAAAAACACTAAAGCTTCTAGGAGAAAATATGGAATATCTTCAGTTTGGTGGTAGATACAAGTTTATTAGACAAGGCTCAGCAAACAATAACCAAAAATATAAAAATCTGATAACACTCCATCAAAACAAGAAAACTTCTGCTCATCAAAAGACACCAAGAAAGTAAATCGGCAAGCCACAGCCTAGAAAAAATATTCACAAGCTATATATCTGATGAAGAACTTGTATCTGGAATACATCCTATAATTCCGTAATAAACAGACAAGCAGCCTAGTATAATGGGCAAAAGATCTGAACAGCCACTTCACCAGAGTTATCTGACTGACAAAAACAAAAAAGCTGTTCTGTAGCAGAAGTCATTGGGGAAATACAAATTAAAACTACAGCGAGATGACTTTATACACTCATCAAACACTAAAATTAAAGAAGAATTACTCTACTGTGGACAAAAACATGAAACAACTTGAACTGTAGTTGTACACTGTTGGTGGGAGTGCAAAAAAATACATTGTGAAAAAGGGTATGACAGTTTTTTGTGAACTAAATATTCGTCTTCCCCTGGACCTAATAATTCTAGTCCTAGGTATATATCCAAGAGAAATGAAAACATAAGTATTTAAAAGAGTTGCACAAGAACATTCATAGCAGCTTTACTGAATAGCCATAATTGGAAATTACCAAGGTTTCCATCAACAGAAGACCTTACAAACTGTGCTGTATTCATACAATGGATTACTAGTCATCATTAGAAAGGATTAAATTACTGCCACACACAATACAGATGGGTCTCAAAAACATTTTGCTGAGAGAAACCTTAGAAGTAGTGTATATTGTATAATTCCATTTGTATGAAGTTCTAGAACAAACAAAATTAACTATGGTGGAAAATATATAGAATAAAGGTTGCCTCTTGCTGAGTGGGGGCAGAAAACTATGAAAGGGCATGAGGGAACTTTAAACAAATACTGAACTTTAGTTAATATTCACACTGAAGCCGGGCTCGGTGGCTCAGCCTGTAATCCCGCACCTTTGGGAGGCTGAGGTGAGTGGATTGCCTGAGCCCGCGGGTTCGAGACCCGCCTGGGCAGCGAGACCTCATCTCTACAATAAATCAAAAAAATCAGCCGGGCGTGGTAGCGCATGCCTGTAATTCTGGCTACTTGAAAGGCTGAGGTGGAAGGATCGCCGGAGCCCAGCAGGATGAGGCTGTGGTGACCGGGAGCGGCCACCGCACTCCAGTCTGGGCGACAGAGTGAGACTCCAACTCAAAAAAAAAAAAAAAAAAGTTCACACTGAAGTATTTAGGAGTGAAGTAAATTTACACTGTAACTTACTTTGAATGCATCAAAAATAAGATTGATGATTACTTAGATGAAAATATCATAAATATATGATCAAGCATATATAGCAAAAGTTAAGCTTGATATACGGATATTATTTAAATAATTATTTCAACTGTTCTGAATGTTTAAAAAATTTTATAATACAATGTTGAGGAAAAAGTTGTGCTTTCTTTTTTTTTGTTTTGAGTGGAGTTTCACTCTGTCACCCAGACTGGAGTGCGGTGGCATGCTCTGGTCAGCACAGCCTCACCCTGCTGGGCTCTGGCGATCCTTCCGCCTCAGCCTTCCAAGTAGCCGGAACTACAGGCGCATGCTACCACGCCCAGCTAATTTTTGATTTATTGTAGAGATGAGGGCTCGCCAAGTTGCCCACGCGGGTCTCGAACCCGCAGGCTCAGGCAATCCATTCGCCTTGGCCTCCCAAAGCACTGGGATTATAGGCTGAGCCACTGAGCCTGGCCAAAATTGACTTTCAATTCCTCTGCTCTCTCATATTGCCAGTACAAACTGTAACTGAATTTAGATGAAGTAAGCCAACAGGGTCCCATTATCAGAGTCACAATATTATCTTTTAAAAAAATCTTTAGCCAGGCTCGGTGGCTCAGCCTGTAAAACTGTACCTTTGGGAGGCTGAGGTGAGTGGATTGCCTGAGTCCGCGGGTTTGAGACCCACCTCGGCAACTTGGCGAGACCTTATCTCTACAATAAATCAAAAATCAGCCGGGCGTGGTAGTGCGTGCCTGTAATTCCGGCTACTCGGAAGGCTGAGGCAGAAGGATCGCTGGAGCCCAGCAGGTGGAGGCTGTGGTGGCCGAGAGCGGCCACTGCACTCCAGTCTGGGTGATGGAGTCTAAAAATCTTTAATATAATAAATAAATCAAACCATTCCTTTTCATCAAAGACATCAATTAAAATGCATACTGACTTTAGCTTCACATTATATATGTAATGACTCCGGTTCAGATAAGGGAAATTCTGCAGTTTCATGCACTATGCCTCAGCTTAGAGGCCTATTTCCAAGGCTAATCATTTAAAGATGGGCACTTGCCCCAACTACAGCCTTTAGCACAAGAAAATATATTGCTGAGCTTGGTATCTCAGGGTGAAATGCAAAGCCTAGACAATGTCAATAAATCAAAACAAAAAAAATGCCAAGAAAAACTTACATTTTATTGTTAAGAAGGGACAGTCACTTAACAGATTACAATGTTTATACCTTCAAAAAACCACTTATGAGCTTAATTACCTTTGTCAAGAGATGCTCCAGCCATATGGTAAAAGCTCAAGGCAGTGTCCACATCATTAATATTCTTTAGGAAAGTAAAGAAATTCTCTACTTCCTGGAATGTCAGACCCTGAAAGAAGAGAGACAGTAAGGTAAGGCGGGACCTGCAACAAAAAGCAGCACAATATGTTGAAGACTATTCATGTCTTCAGGTCAGAAATGTCTGCTTACTCATGTCTGTCTGGAAAAGAAACTGAATAAATTAGTCAAGAAATGTCACATTTGTTTACAGTAGGGGAACAGAACTTACCCTAAGAAAGGCAAACTGGCTAATTGCTTCCCTCTCACATGCAAAATCTGACAAAGTTGCTTACAATGACAGTCAAATACCTTTAATAAAAATATTTCTAAGTGTGCTCTCCAATTAGTCACACTACGTATTATGACACTTCCTAAATGGGCCGTGGTTACTCGATATATTATACATCTTAAGAAGTAAGAGACGGGTTCGGTGGCTCAGCCTGTAATCCTGCGCCTTTGGGAGGCTGAGGTGAGTAGATTGCCTGAGCCCATGGGTTCGAGACCCACCTGGGCAGCGAGACCTCATCTCTACAATAAATCAAAAAATTAGCCAGGTGTGGTAGCGCGCGCCTGTAATTCCGGCTACTCGGAAGGCTGAGGCGGAAGGATCGCCAGAGCCCAGCAGGTCAAGGCTGCGGTGGCTGGAAGCGGCCACTGCACTCCAGTCTGGGCGACAGAGTGAGACTCCAACTCAAGAAAAAAAGTAAGATCAGAGTTAGGGCTTCCATTTCAATAGTCTGCTCACAGGCCAGCTAAGCTTTTTGAGGCTTCAGCTAACTAAAGAATCACCAAAGTCAGTGATATACAGGGGAGGGGTTTCAGTATTTAGCAAAACCCAAGCAACGGGGAAGTTGTTCTTTATCTCAATTTAAAAGCTACTAACAAAGCAAATCGCTACTTAACTTTAATCTGATGAAATTCTGTGAATGAAGAAATTCTTTTCAAAAGCTGCTCAAAGATTTGCTGACTTCTAATTCTAATTTCTATGACAGATTAAGAGGAAGTGCTTGTATAAATCGGGGCTACTGGGAATTCCTTTATAGTGAGGAAGATACAGTCCTGTTTGCTTTTTCTCCACTTCTCACACATCATGCCGTGATGGAAATGAATAGTTTCTAAGAAGTGAAAACTCTGGGAAATATCCTAGACATGAATGTTAATACCTTTTAATGAAGCATCAGGTCCTTAATGGATTGTAGATATTCACTGGCTTCTACTTAGAGCTGCTCCTTCTCCTATTTCCACTTCCTCCAACTCCAGAGCCCAGGAACCCACATCAGGAACTTAGTAATATGGAAATCTTTTTTTTTTTCCTGAGTTGGAGTCACATTCCATCGATCAGGTTGGGGTGCGGTGGCACGCTCACGGCCACCGTAGCCTCGACCTGCTGGGTTCAGGTGATCCTTATGTTTCGTGTGCCACCACGCCCAGCTAATTTTTCTTGATTTTATTGTAGAGATGAGGTCTTACCAAGTTGCCCAGGCTGGTTTCGAACCCTTGGGATCAGGCAATTCTCTCGCCTTGGCCTTCCAAAGTGCTGGGATTATAGGAGTGAGCCACTGTGCCTGGCCATAAGGAAATCTTAATACAGATAATCTATAGTTCTTCCTGGTACTCTCCAAACTGGGTCAATGTATCTTTCTCATCTCATCAGTAAAACTGACAGCTAAAATACTGTTTGTATCATTATACCACATACTCTTTTACACTTTTTCCCCTTAGAATTACAGAACTTCAAATTTATAATGGAATATAATGACCATATAGAAAGGTGCATTAAATGTAAATATACAACTTAACAAACTTGCAAAAATGAGCACCCATAAAACCTCCATTCAGGTCAAGGAACAGACTTATCAAGCATTCCAGAAGCTTCCTCCCATTCCCTTCAACATATCTCTTTTCAATCATAAGCCCAAACCCCAGTACCACCCTCAATGAGAATAATCACTATTTTGACTTATAGGGGCTTTATTTCTTATTTATTTACTTAAGAGTTGTGGGGTTCAGGTGAGGGTTGCCTACAAAAGTATGCTGCATGCAGGTGAAATTTGGGCTTCTAGCTGGCCCTCTTTCTCCTTGGTAGTGGACCAGGTATCCTTTGTGCACCCTTAAATAGAAATAGTAGTTTAATTTTTGTCTATTTTTGAACTGTATAAATGGAATCATGCAGTAGGAATTCTGTTATATATGGCATCTAAGATTTGTTCATGTTTGTATATATCTGTAGTTCATTCATTTGTATTGCTTTAAAGTAATCCAGTATGTGAATATGCCACACTTTATTTATTCATTCTATTTGTGCTATTTCCAGTTTTTGGCAATTATGAACAGTGGTGCATCTGTACCTAACTTTTTTTTTTGGTAGGAACAGGGTCTCACTATGTTGCCTCAGCTGCTCTCACACTTCTGGTCTCAAGCAATCCTCCTGCCTTGGCATCTGTACTTAAGCTTCCATTAAAACATTTGTCAAGTACCTACTATGTACCAAGTGCCATAATTTTTGGCAGTGAACTGGAAGGCCTATATTATACACTTTTCCTCTAATTTGAAGTCATTCTCTTGGCCTTCACTTAGAGTATCCAGAGTTAGGATTCCTTTTAAAGGCTGAGTAATATTCTACTGTACATATAAACCACATTCTGTTTGACCATTCATCCATTAATGGACAGTCGGGTTGTTTCCATCTTTACATGCCTTTTGATGGAGGGGAAAGGAAGAGGGTATCAATGTATCTATCGACAAGCAGTCATGTTATAGTACCTGTACTTCTAATCCAGTGGGATTCTCCTCTATAAGAAATCCTTACTGGATGGCTGCACAACAATGTAATGTACTTAATGCCACTCAATTTAAAAATGTTTAAAATTATAAATTGTATGTTATGTATATTTTATTTTTATTGTTTTATTTTTTGAGTTGGAGTCTCACTCTGTCGCCTAGGCTGGAGTGCAGTAGCTCACAGTCACCACAGCCTTGATCTGCTGGGCTCAGGTGATCCTTTTGCCTCAGGCTTCCATGTAGCTGGAACTACAGGCACTGTCACCACGCCCGGCTAATTTTTTGATTTATTGTAGAGACGAGGTCTTGCCAAGTTGCCCGGGCTGGTCTCAAACCCGTGGGCTCACACAGTCCCCTCACTTCAGCCTCCCAAAGTGCTGGGATTATAGGCATGAGCCACAGAGCCTGGCCTGCTATGTTTATTTATTTATTTATTTTGAAAGCAGGATTTATTGAGAGAACAGAAAAGCTCCCACAGTGAGAGGGGACCTGAGGGGGTTGCCCTGCTATGTGTATTTTAACACACACATATACACACACCATGGTAAAACTTTTTTACTTTTGTTATTAAGATATGGATTCCTGAAGGGGGTGGATAGTCATGGGGCTGAGTTATTGAAAGAGTTTTTGAGGCTGAAAGATTATTCATAACTTAAAAATTCCTAAAACAGAAAAGGCATGGCAGAGAAAATGTTTCTTACTCTGATAGAAAACCTCCAAACACTGTGAAACATTAAACACTATAGTTTAAGACCAGTGTGCTTATGCTGAGAATTATTTGAGCACAGCGAGGGGGAACAATCTTTACGAATTGGCTACTCATTTGATGGTTTAGCAAAACAGTAGAGTACAAATCACATTATGGAACTATTAAATCTAAATACATAACACTTTACCTTTATCACATAGATATAAAAAAATGTTTATTAAGCACTAATCACTCAGCTCTATGCTAAGCTCAGTAAGGGAAAGGCCTTGGACAAAGGCCTTGGTTTTATGGCACTTATAATTTAGACAGACCTCCTTAAAGAAAAGATTATGTTAGTCACAAAATTCTTATTTCTTCGTAACTACTTTAGTAAAAAATCTAGAGGACTATTAGAATAAAGCTAGAGCAAGACTATAACCTGAGCTTTGTGGCTGGTAAAGTGGAAAGTGAAAGGACATGCTTATTGCAAGTTGAGCTGTTTAGAGCAGAAGGCTATAGTTTATGCACAGTCTATTGGCAGGGACTTGAGCTGCAGACAGAGTGGTCAAAAGGAACAATCTTTCTCTTAGATTTTGCGTTAAAGGGATTTTGACATACTGTAGGGGGAAGGTTGAACAGTTATCCTGTGATCAACTGTTCAACAAACTGGTTATTTATCTTTGGAAAGATGAACATATATAAAACTGGGTTCTAGGTGACTAAAATAAAGATTGATAGTAGTTTGTGGAGGATAGGGACACTTCTTTAGGTTGTTAAAAATGAATTTAACATTAGAAAGTTGTTAAGCAAGCAAAAGGAATTGTCTTTCAAAACTAAAAGCAGCCAATAAGACTTTCAGAAGAAAATACAGGGCCAGGTGTGATGGCTCATGCCTGTAATCCCAATGCTCTGGGAGGCTGAGGCAGGAGGATCACTTGAGGCCAGGAGTTTCAGACCTGCCTGGGCAACACAATGAGACCTCGTCTTTACAAAACATAAAAAAATTAGCCAAGTGTGGTGGTGCATGCCTAATGTGTCAGCTATTTGGGAGGCTGAGGTAGAAGGATTGCCAGAGCCCAGGAGGTCGAGGCTGTGGTGAGCCATGATCAAGCCATTGTAGGCCAGTATGGGTAACAGAGTAAGACCCTGATTAAAAATACACATTAAAAAAAAAAGAAAATATAGGCAAAAATCTTCATAACTTTGAGTGAGGCAAGAGTTCTTAGATGAACCCCAAAGCAGAATTCATAAAGAAAAAACTAGCAAGTTAGGCCTCACCAGAACTTAAAAACTATGTTTCAAAATACTGAGAAACTAAACAAAACACATGCTGGAAAAAAAAAAACAGTGAAAATCATAAAGGCCAGGCGCAGTAGCTCATGGCTATAATCCCAGCACTTTGGGAGGTCAAGGTAAGAGGATTGCCTGAGCCCATGGGTTCAAGACCAGCCTGAGCAACTTGGTGAGTCCCCATCTCTACAATAAATTAAAAAATTAGCCAGGTGTGGTGGTGTGTGCCTGTAGTTCCAGCTACTTGGAAGGCTGAGGCAGAAGGATCGCCTGAGCTCAGCATGTTGAGG